TAGAAAAAAGGGAAAGAGGACTTTTTTTAACTGAAAAAAGGAAAGAGGATTAACACTCTTCAATCCTCATATATAATGTTCAATTTTATTTTTTTAAATAACAAATGATGTTGCCAGAAAAGAGTAAATATTTTTTGTAGGAAAACAATTGAGAATATGCACGTGTTTTGGATAAAGTACTTCATACATTTTTTATGACATTTTCTTGATAAAACTTTGGGTCACAATTGCATTTCTATGTCATTGTTATATTTTTATATTTTCACATATTTACATAATTATTATTCTTTAAAGATTTTACATAAATATTTAAAATTAATTTAATAGATGAAAGGTAGGTTAAACATAAAATAAGATTATATGAATAATAACTTTAATACAGAACAATAATTCTCATTCTTGAAAATAAATGAGGGAATGTTGTGAAAATGTAATTAAATCTCATTCAATGAAGCATGGAATCACCAATCCCACCTCTTTGGGAAGGGATGTTGATTTGTAGTTCTATGATAGAACAAAGTTCGCTATGGAATCATCATTTTTAGTACCAAACGTACTGCTAGTTGTTGTTATGTTAATCATTTGATTTTATTAAGTTGTCTTTATTTAATTTTTTTCTTTTATTTATGTTTGCTTCAGAGGTTTAGGTCCTTTGGGTCCCAACATAGTCCGCAGGTATACAAGTGCTAGGTTTGGTACACATTCAACTGGGGAAATATTGACCGAAGAGGAATCAACGTTGCTGACAGGTCTGGCAAAAGAACACATTGATATATTGTATAGATGTAAGAGTGCATTCTAATTTTAGTCTCCTGTCTGTTAAAGATTATGTTTACCACACATTGGCGGCCAAAGCTAGTGGGGAGCTCTGCTTAAAGTATATTTTTTCATTTGGAGCATTTGCTAGGATGCCCCTTCTTCTCAGGTATGGTGATCATTCTCTTTCTATTATTAAATTAGAATTTGTCTTCAACTAATTATTTGTTATCCTAAAAAAATTATTCAGATTTCATATGTAGTGTCTTCTGGAATCTGTAGTTCAACAACCACGTCATTCTTGGAAAAAAAAATTGTATGTAGAAATTAGAATTGTAGATACAAAATCAGTATACAGTACACTGCTTCTAGAGACATGTTAAGAACACCAGTTTGGTAACTTTGGTTAAAAAAACACTGCGTCTTTCGACATCTTGAAGTCAGTTTGATCCAAAGATAAATGGAACTCCTGCTAGAGAAAAAATGTTTTGAAATTCCCGTTTTAATGATTCTTTTCTTCTTAGTAGGTAGTACTTTTTATTTATACAACGATTGGAGGTTTGAACCTGTAGCCTCTTCCAAATTTCCTAAGCCCTTCATTTCTATTCTACTCCTAGTGGCTTGATTATTCTTGTTTTCGTGTAGTCAAAATACTAATCTCTTGACATTATGTGAAACTATTAGATAAAAACAATAGACCTTGTTTATGAATGAAATAGCAGCCGCTGCTGGCGATGTCAAAACTACATCTAGTGATTTGTACATATCCTATCCTGTATCATCAAGTAGGGGTGTAACCCACGAACTCAAACTGATCTAAACCAATCCAATGAGTTTGGATCAGATTTTTTCAGTGTTCAGATCATACCCAACCCAATCTGATTAAAACCCGGTACTGTACGGGGTTGGATAACGAATTTTGTGTTTTCAATCCGTTACCAATCCAACCCAACCCGATCATATATTATAATAATAATAATAATAATAATAATAATAATAATAATAATAATAATTGTATTTGAATGATTATTTGCTTAGAACAATACTCACTGCAACTCTCACTTAGTAATAAGTTTTGTGTTTTAGGTTAATAGCATTGTAATAATATAATATATTTATTTTAAATTTTATTTTGTATTAATTAATGTTGATTTTTTGAGTAATAATGTAACAAATTAATAAATTTATTTTAGAATTTAATTTGTATTATTGTTTGTTTTATAGGTTGATAACATTGAATTTGCAACAATGTATCAAATGATTTACATCTATTTTGAAATATTTAAAATTTTACAAAAATAAATAAATATAATTATGTTGAACCAATTGAACCAATTGATCCAATCCAATCCAACTCATTTATGATTGGGTGTTGAATTAGATTTAAAAAAAAATTCATAAATCCGACTCAACCTATTAAATTTTTTGATTGGATTGGATAGTGAGTTTATCCAAATCCGGCCGAATCCAACCTGCTTACATCCGTATTGTCAAGCAAACTATATATGCATCCTTAGAGGAGCACGGATAAAAAAGTAAAGGAAGGATTGCGAAACTAAGTCTTTTTTTACTTATTTATTAACGGCTAAAACACTAATTTGGTCCCTTATATTAATTGTTTGTCTCGCACTCTCGCTAACTAGTACTCTAAAGAAGCAACAACAGTTCGTATTTTTTTTTTTAAATTATAATAAAGTTACACATATGAATATTAAATACATTTCTATTTTTTTTCTTCATTTTTTACTCCTTGATTACTAGTTTTGGTGAGCATTTTTCTTTTATTAATCGTTTCATTTCTTATGAAAAGTATTGAATATGTTTAATATTTTTTTCTTAGTTATACTTTCTTATGTTATGAATATAAACAACAACAACAAAAAATTAATTGTATTAATTCCGTTGAAAATATAATCTAATTTTTATAAACCACCTTTTATGATTTATCAAGTAATAGAAAGATTAGTAAAAAAAAAATAACATTACTCTCATATGTTTAAAATGTTTTAGTAGACATTTTTAATATTTAAACAAATAATTAGTATAATTAGTAATTTTATATATATTATTAACGTTTATATGTAGCTTCTAACACTTTATAAATTAGTTCAACTAACCACTGAAAATAAATACAGTAATTTATAAGTTATTATTATTACTATTATGCTTATTTTTAATATTTTTTTATATATAAATCACATGCTTGTTTTTCTTCTATAGGTGGCAAAGTTTTCTTTCAAAACATTTAACGTTGCTAATTTATTTGAAATTACATTTACCTCAAATAATTAAATATGTTGAGTACATTTTAACATACTATATAATATTAAGTTTAAAATTTTGACAGTTGGAATATTAACTAATGATTTTACAGTTGTAATATTAATTAAAAAAATATAACATCTGTAATACTAATTGAAATTAAAATTTTAAAAACTATAAGAGAAATATATTTAAAAAACAAGATTCACAAGCATTTAAAAAAAAAAGAAGATTTTTTAAGAGTCAAAGAATTTAAGTCAAACTGTCAAAATCAAAGTAGATTGCTTTTTTATTCTTGAGGAAAGTATATTTTTCCACAATTAATCTTCATTCATAATGGTATAGAACAAAAGTATCGTTAATTTTTTTTACATAAAAAAATCATATTTTTATCATTAAGATAGTGTTCTAAATACAATAAAAACTTCATTATTAATATTCTCGAAATTAAATAAAATATAATTTATATCCAAAGAATGAATTATACCAAATTATTTTTACATCTACTATATTGAATAGTAATAGAAGTAGAAGATTTCATAAATTTTTTTAATTTGATTAAGAATTATGCTATACTCATAAATATTTTCATTGTTGTTATGAATTTGATCTACTATTAGTTTGCAATCTAATTCAATGATCACATTAAAATTGGTGACCACAAAATCAACCAAGAGTATGCAATATATAACACTTGTTTTATCCTTCTTTAATTACATATTGTCTTTGATAAAAGATGATTCTTGCTTGCAAAAAATCACTTCTTTCATTCTTTAAACAAGCTTTATTTTTTTAATGGAGGATAAATTCACACATATAATAAGGAAAGTTTCATAACATACGCACAATATCTGTTTTTTCTCATCAACATTCAATATTTTGTAAGCATTTAATCAATTTATAGGAGAAAATCTTGTTTTATTCAACATTGTATCCACTTGTTCATGTTTTGTATCCCACACCATTTCATTCCTTCTTTGCCAAATATTTCACATAATTTTTTTAATTAATTTTTTTAATGATAATTATTTTTTTAAGAACCTAATAACTAAGAATTAAATAACTATCATTAATTAAGAACCTAATAATTAATATTTTTTTAAAAATACAACAATCACTTAATATTATAAGAAACAGGGATAATAAGTAAACTTATACTCGTTGGCAATACCCATACCGTTGGTAATATACAAACTTGTCTCGATTTTGACGGAAAATACTCGATTTGACCGAGTACATATATGGATAATACCCGATTTATTGAATTAGATACGGAGATGTGGATAAGTATATACATACCCGTCGTGTATGCGTACCTGCTTTAAATTTCTAGAAACTTAATTTTTTTTAAGAATTTACTTAAAATTTACATGATTCTTATTTCTTTTTGAATTTATTTCAAATAAAACTTAATTAATGTAATTTTGTAATTGTTACTTTATGCTAAAAAATTATTTTACATATTTTTTTAAAAAATATTTAATTAATTTTTGAATGAATATAAAAATACCCGATACCTGACGGGAAGAAAAATGAGAATGAGAATTTCATACCCATCAAATATGGAGATGGAGATAAGTATAGGATATGAGAACAAGAATAAATACAGAGATACTAAAAGCCATTCCCTATTCAACAATCACTTAATTAATAATTTTTTTCATTCTATAAAAAAATTGAGACAGTTCATCTGTCCAGAATAAATCAAGAAAAGAACCTAATAAAGTTCGGATATTGATAAAGTGAATTTAATTTTATTTGACTGAAGAATTTAATTCTTATTTTTAGCAAATACTTTAGTGATTATAAAAAAAACAATTAATTAAAAATAAATAATGCATTTAAAAGAATGTTAATGCAGATTAACATTTTTCAAAGAATAAAACAATCTTACTTTGATGCATGCATGCATTTCGAGTCAAATATGCATCCATTGTACCTCCGATTGAATCCATTCAATAAAGAGAATACTCACTCGTTCATGAATGGTTTTGCAATTAGTAATTGTAACTTTTAATGCGGTGAATCAATAAAGCCTTTTGATTTTTCACTTTTCCATTCAGTCAACGCATTACAGATAGATTTTCACTAATTCAGCAAGCGACAATTTAATGTTCAATGGGAAAATAATTTCAGCCATTTTGTATATACTTCTCTTTTTAAACTAAAACACTTGGCTTGTATGATTTTTTTTCTTAATTTTTTATAATCATTTTAAAAATAAAAAAAACTTTTATAAAAATAACAAAACATGTTATTAAATAAAATGATAACTATATGAAAATATGAATATTACAGAAGTACAGGAGATTTGCCCTGTTTTATAATGCAATATCAGTTTTGTAGATGTTTAATTACACGGAGTCCTAAACTTTTTCATGAAATTTAAATATAGTACTACTACATACATATGCTGCAATCCCACCTCTATCGATATATACACTAGTTAATTAGTTTTGGTGATATATGTTTAATTAATTTTTTGAGTATAAAATTAAATTTAAAATATTGGGTGTAAAAAAAATTTCACTTAAAGAGATATCACTATATTATATCGTGAATGTTCTCTACTTAAATGAAATCAGCTTTCATTTCTAAAATAAATTTCATGAAGAATATGTGCAGTTTTTTAATTCATAGATTGAATTCAGTTTAGGCCAACTTAAGATATTTAAACACACACAAAAAACTGAATATATTTAAACACATGCGTTATTTCAAGAAAAACTACCCTATCCAGTGGTAGTCCCAGTTGGGGAGTGACAGGATTTGAAGATAAATATGTGAAAAATAAAATAAAATTATAATTGTTTAGTAGGGTAAAAATAGAGAAATTTTAATTTTTAATAATAAATTAAATAATTAATTTAGATATATTATTAATAAAAATACACATGCATAAGTTAT